AAAAAAAAAAAAAAAAAGAAAAAAGAAAGAAAGAGTACTTAAAAGGCAACGGACCACACTTTAACACACTACAAGCAAACATAAATAGCATCGAGATTGAACCGACAATTAATGTGAAAGAAACAATTACCATTCACAATTCGGAAAACATCAATAGCATGCATCGTCTAAGAGCTGAGTGAATAAAATAAAGCACGTGAGAGCATGAACTTCATCAAAGCAGATTTTCTTACCCCATCACCAATGGCAAACAAACTAACAGCTCCAGTATTTCTAAATCTTCGTCTCACCAAAAGAGCATATAAGTCCGCCAGAGCTAGACAAAGACTCCATATACTTTGCAAGCCAACAGCAGCAACAAGGTAGCTGATTACAAGAACAAGAAAGTTTCGGTCATAATTCCGCATCCTAAATTCACTATAAGGAAATTATATAGGGTGAACTACAAAACTTAGTCAGACTTTGCATAACTTGTTCAATTTTAAAGAAGTTCGAATCTTCAAGTAAGAAAAGAATTTGGGAGTTAAACGAATTAGTCATCATCTTATTAACCTCACACAGTTCCTTTAGGCGTTAAATGATATCCACTTGAATAATGTTCGAAAACTATATTATTCACTCCTGTGGAAAATACGACAACAAATCCTGACTGAAACAAGTGATTTGGTTAAAGGATTAGGACACTATTGTTCTTTCTCTTTAACACATGCAGAACATAACCTGAAAATCCACAATAGTTTTAATGAACACTTCATTGCTTTGCTTACAGGAATAAACAGATCATACACTCAACTATTGCTCTTTCTCATAAACCCATTAAGAATAATAGAACATAACCTGAAAATCAGCAAAGTTTAAACATGAAAATCATTAGCATTTCACTGTTTTGCTAACAAGAATAAATGAATCATGTACTCTGCAATTACAAGGCAATAAAAATACATAACCTCTTAGCTTAAATGGTATTGCTCAATGATGATCGAACTATGAGTCTCTAGTTATTCGTCAACCCCCTTCTCTAAAAGCCTTTTTTTTAAAAAAAAAAGTATGACGGATTGACCAGCGTAATGGTTAAGCTGACTCATTAGGGCCGTAAATAAACCGAGCCGAACTCGAGCTTTTATTACCCGAGCTATAGAAAACTATATAAAAAATCACCTTTTCAAGCCTTAACAGTCTGAGCTAACTAAACGAGCTTGAGCTCGAGCCTTAACGAGCCGAGCCGGGGGCCACGAGCGGTTCATTTCGTTTAACAACTCCACAAGAATTTGTGAAAAATCCTAATATAGCACTGCATCTGTTTCATTTATTACATAATCTTATGTATGTATCAGTTACTGTTAAGAGTTCAATTTCCTCATCTACAATTCCGCAAAAGGTAAAGTTTCTTCTTTTTGATTCCTTTCCTTTAAAAAAAAAATGATAAAATCCCTAAACCCTAACAACAAACAGAAAAAAAAGAAGGGCCCATATCAAAAGCAGATAAAACTAACCGGAAAGCGGTGACGGAGGGGAAATCGGAGGTGGTGGCCATGACGCAAAGAGAGACGGCGGCGAAGACGAACTGGCAGATGCGGAGGGCGAGAGCCCCGGAGGTCCCGGCCATCCCTTGAATGTCTTTCATCCTTACCCTCGGCGGCGCTACATCCGTCGCCGGTGGTGGAGCCTCCACCGGGTGAACCGCCGGCCCGCTCATCAGCATATTTATATCTCAAAACGCACCCATCAAATCGAAACACATAGAATGTCAAGAAACGGATACCAATTAAACTATTGATAGATTGATCTAATATCGTCTTTTATTTCCTAACAAAACGAAAATCTTAAAGAGAGAGAGAGAGAGAGAGAGAGATAGAGAGAGAGAGAGAGAGAAAAGCTTGAAACTGAGGAGTGGCTCCGGTGAGATGGTCGTGCATATACATTCTGTTGAGTGTATTCTACTTAAAGCGTGTTGGTACTTTTAGCGCTTCTTCATTTTGTAAAATGAATTG